ATCTCCATATGATCTCTATGTGATCTCTATGTGATCTCCATATGATTTACATGGTCATCACATATTACATGAATTCATCACATGAGTATAGTCAACAAAGTGGTGGGATTTGTGAAGTTTGTGAGTTTTCTCTTCAAGCCTCCACACATGATTCCACCAGAAAGAGTCAGTGTGGTTTTTATGTGACTTTACAAACAGGCCAGTGCTTCAATAATGCAACAACATGTGTAGGATGTAAATATCTGAAGTCAGCATCACAGATATCCCAAGTGTTTAAGCATCAAAACCCTGAAAGAACAATAAATCTTCTTGTAACTCTGAATGAGTGGAGTGATCATCTGACACAGTAATTAACTAGAAAAACTAAAACATTCCAAAAAAGTCAGAAACAATTATCGACCTAAACTCTCACCTCAGAAACCACAAAATATCAAATAGACAAAAATATCCCGTCTTACCTCTCGACTCCGTCCTGGGAGTAATAAACACCGTAGGTCTGCACGGCTCGTCCCGTCTCCTCTGGGGGGCGCCAGCTGAGTCGGACAAATCGGCTGGACACTAGGACAGGGACCAGGTCGCGGGGGGCAGAGGGGAGGACAACGCCTGGGCTGGGGGACACTGGTGGGGGATCAGAGGAGGAGGAGTAAGTCAAAGGGGTGCCTGACGGAGCAGGAGTGTGGGCGGGTCTATATTGAGTGGGCGTGGCCCCTGTTAACAGTTCATTCGGGGGAGGAAGGGCAGGGAAGAGGACAAGGGTTGACAGGGAGGAGGTGCAGGGGACGAGCAGAGGACGAGCAGAGGAGATGAAGCAACGAAAAACAAGAGGAGCAGAATGACAGATGGGATGAGAAGGAGCAAAAAGATGTAGAAAAGACAAGGAAGAAAGAAGAAGAAGAAGATCACAGGCAAGAAGACAAAGCAGCAGAGCATCATTTTCAATCAGTTGAAATCAATAATGATTAGTTCTTTTCAGAGGAACATGAGGTTTAAATATTGTCATTTTACAGAAGAGTTATATAGACTCATAAATCAAATATTTACATTTCACCCTGAATTAGAGTGTGAACAGATTCTGAATAAAATGAGACATGTGGGACTGAATGTTTGAACCAGGACTTACCGGTGATCTGTTATTTTCTGTTCACTTTACAATCTACCAGAGAGGAGCCCAGCTCTGAGTTAAGCATCTTAATTTAGTTAATCTTTTCATGTTCTTTTACTGGACATGTAAACATCATATTATTATTATTGTCATTTTCATTATTATAATTACTATTGTTATTGTTATTGTTATTGTTAATGTTGTTGTTGTTGTTGTTATCATCATCATCATCATCATCATCATCATCAATTCTGGTATATGCATTGTCATAGTATGTTCATATGCAATTGATAGCATCCATTTGAGAGACAAGTAAGAAACTGATGTGGAAATGTGACTATTGGAAGCTGACTAGCATGCTAACTGCTAAGAAACCAGTAAATGGTTTAAAGATCTTTTCCCGTCTTGATGTGGCTCAAAGTGCTTGACAGTACAATTTGCCATTCACCCATTCACACACTCATTAACACAGTTCATCTACAAGCATGAGGGGTTTCGCATCTTCACAGCCACCCAGTGGCCACTAATATTTATTTGGCTCCATCATTTCACAGTTACTCAACCAGTTACAATCTAATTGTGAATTAAGATAAAATATTTATGGGTAACAAGCAGGATGACAGATACAAATGTTGTTGGGCTGGTGCCTGATGGGAAAATAATAATCTCTATATGTTGACTTTACAAAACTGACATGACGGACCAGAGAAAGGGAAAAAAATGACACGCTACCTCTCGCATACAGTATCAGATCATAATCTTTCACAGCTAGTACGTTAGCATGAAATTCAACTGTGGGTGTGTCCTGAAAGGGAAACTGTGATTGGTAGTTGTTGTTGTTATTGTTATGATCATCGCCCACCGTCAAGCGTTAAAGCAACGTGTTAATCTGAGTACTGTGTTACACTTTTCTTTAAATACTGATGCTGAATTCACAGAGTCACACTTTATATTTTCAGGTGGATGGTGAAATCAAAGATATCAAATGTAGAAACCTCTGAGATAATCAGATGTCTGGGAGAGGGATCTTCACATGTGACTCTGAGCGAAATTTACTCTTCATAAAGTTTCTCTGGTAGTTTGACTTAAACTGGGAATATGAGACAAATCAAATGTTAATTGATTGATTGATTGATTGATTGAGTTATTGTAATGCTGTACACTTGATACGTATAAGTGAAAAACGTGGTAAGTGGGAAATTTGTCAGTGACCAGAAGAACCTTGATAAAGTCTGGAACGAGAACATGTGTGTTCAGCAGAGTTACTGTTACTTTAAAGTTGTCATTCATCATCCTCAAAAACATCAAGAACACAGGAATAATCAATACATCGCACACACATGCACACACGCACACACACACACGTACACAAGGCTGACAGAAATCAAATCAATCTGGAAAGTGTAAAGGTTGTGACTGAGTCTTTAAATGCTTTTGTCCATCATGTCAATAAAGCTTCACTGAACACATTCACACACATTTGATCACTATGGTGTGTGTGTGTGTGTGTGTGTGTGTGTGTGTGTGTGTGGCGGGGGGGGGGAGTAAAACAGGTTGAGAAAACTACAGGGATAAAGATTAGAAAAATTGGATTTGAATAGGATGAAAAGAGGAGAGCAGGGTTAGTAAAGGAAGGACTAAGGAAAACACAAGAGAAAGAAGTAAAGAAGAGAAAAGAAAAATGACACAAGAAAACAAGTAGATAAGAAAAGAAGAAGGAGGGAGAAAAAGAGGAGTGGATGGAAACAGAGAAGTGTTAACACACATCCTCTCGTCTCTGTGAGATGAGATTTTCGGGTGTGAAGGGCGGATTCGTTCCTGCTCGGTGACCCGGCCAGAAAAGCCGAGGTGGCGCTCAGGCGTCACTCTCCACCGAAAATAGATGGGTCGGCGAATAATAGAGTCAGACACCACAGAAGAAGAGGGGAAAACAATCTAAGTAAGTGCTGAAGATTACACTGCAGCATACACACCCACAGATGATACCTGCACACACACACACACACAAACACACACACACAAACACACAGGCACCGTGTTTTCCATCACTGTGTCCATTTTCTACAAGCTGCTCTGCATTTATATTGTTTCTGCTGCTCGGATGATCTTTAGGGCCGTCTGGTTTCAGCTCCAGCGTTTCAACAGTCACAAAATCTGATTTCATTTTATTTTTATTTGTGTGTATGTGTGTTACAAAAATACGCACAGGGGGGAATTAAAACTCAGCATAAATAGATGGGTCCATTAATGCTCTTATACATTTACTATTTTATAAATAAATAACTGTAACATACTGAATGTTCATATTTTTTCATGACATTTCCTGCAGGTCCTCAGCTCCTTGTATTCAAATAAAAATCAGAGGATAAACAGTGATCTTATTGTGGGTGCAGATACACCGAGCTCCAGGGGAAGGGAGAAAACAATGTCAGCTAGATTACTGCTTTTCTCCCATCATGCAACAGATGCATAGATATGCACTGACGGAGGGTTTTGTCAACACGGGTAAGAGAGTAAAAATAGCTTTTTGTTCAGCTGCTCTTCAGGTGTGAGTGTAAAAGGCTCCAGTCGCCTCATGAATCAACAGAAGCTTGTGAGTTTATACTCTGATGGTTGTTTATTCCATCAGCTTCAGACTTCAGACAGAAAACTGTAGATACAGTGAACATATCAGGTTTGATTTTTACTTTGAATTTTTAGTTTTCTGAATGTGGATTGTGGAGTTTGATGGTTCACTGAATGTGAATATGGAGAATGGTTTCTCCCAGTTAATGAAGAGTTTTTTCTCTCCACAGTCGTCAGAGCTGCTCATTGAGGGAACTGTTGTTCTCTCTATAGATTTAAGGATTTGGCTTTCAAATTGAAGTGAACTGAAAACCTTGTGAAAATAAGTGTTATATAAATAGTTATTATTATTACTATAGATATTCTTACGTTCTATAGCATGAGCCCATAAATATCCTCCATCTCTCTCTCTCTCTCTCTCTCTCTCTCTCTCTCTCTCTCTCTCTCTCCCACTTTCTCTTTTTTTTTATTAACCTCTATTTGTGCAGACGAAGACTGCTGAGCTTGTTCACTCTCCTCAGCTTCAACCTGCTCTCTCTGCATTCAATTTCAGGCCTCAT